AAGAGAAAGGAAAAGTTTAAATCGCATCATATGACCCCTTTAAAAAATTAAAAGATACTTAAAATGTAGTAAGTAAGTAGCCAGTAGGTTAAAAAAACATTTTTTTTTGTTAGTGAAATAGAGCAAAAACAGGCAATATGGTTTCTAAAAGTCTCTTAATATTAACTTCATGTTTATTGAACTGTTGTATAAAATCAGTATCACATTTATAATCATGCTGATTTTTGGAGAAAAATATGGCTTTCTACGTGCCTCTTATATAATTTTTCTGCCCCCATATTTTGAATTTTGGGTGCATTCTAAATATGCATTATAATATATTTTAATATATAAAAATATGCACTGCATTTTTATAGACAATCACACAGTGAAAAATGCATTGTGAATGCGCACGCGCGCTAGTCTAACCTATCAGACTATATCACGTATAGTTTATGCGTTCCTCTGTAGGTGTGTTTTGTTTGGTTTTTGCGATATGCTTAATAATGTCAAATCGCACATTGTTAAAACAACAATTACAATATTATCGTAGACAATATATATCACACACCCCTATCCTTATGTTGTTTCAAACCTGTATGTCTTGACTTCTTCCTGTCAATGCAAAATAAGATATTTTGAAGAATGTTCATGCTGCTCTTTTCCATTTAAAATTTAGCATGTTACTGGTCCTCAGTAATTGGAGGACAGTCACTCCCCATATGACTTGAGTGTTCTATTCTGTGTCTTGTGAAGTTGTAAAATAGTTTTGTGTAGGGAACAGACTGAAATTTAAGTAGTTATTTGCTTAAAATCTTTCATGTAGCTCTTAAATTTCGTTTGAACTTCTGCAAAGTTGAAATTTTGTAATTTGACACAAGTTTAATCTGGCCATTTCTTGACACAACTTACTCTTAATGGTTGATCAGTTTCCTTTTTTGTGGAATGTGACAGATTGAAAATAAATGGATTTTATATATATATATAAGGTCTCAATACAGTAGTATGAGGATAATATTGCTGTAATTGATTATTGTATGGAAAATAGTTGCCTAAATTTATTTATTTATTTTTTTTGCGTTCACAGAAGAAAGTCAAATGGAGTTGTAATGTTTTGGGTGAAATTTATTGCAACAGCTAACAATGAACAATATGTTCACAGCATTTATTAATATAAATTAATAATTTCTACATATACCAATACATGAATTAACAATGAACAATATTTAGATATTGTATAAAGTTAAATATAAAAAGTATAAAGTTACATCATTCATTGAATATATTATTTATAATGAAAATACATTAATAGATGTTCGAAAAATGCTGTTTATTGTTATTACATATAATCATGATATCTAATGCACAAATATTATTGAACCATATTGTAAAGTGTAGTTTCTGCAGTTTTTCTACTGTCACGACTTTGTAGAAAATCCAAGTTATGATAGCAGCAGTAAGAATTTGTCAAATTTAATAAATGTTTTTGTAAAGGAAAATGTTAAGAACAAATAGTGAAGAAAAATTGAAATTTTTTATTTTAATGAAAAATATATTTTGTAAATGTTTCTTTTCTAAAGAAAACAATAGTAAGGAAAATTTTACATTTAATGAAATTATAATTGTTTTGGGTGGGGAACAAATTAATTTTTCTGTAAAAAAAAAAAAAAAATTCTAAAGAAAACTGTTTTGAAATCTTAATAATTAATGAAAATATAATATAAAAATAAACATAACAATTGATAATTCCTTTTTTAATGGGGACAAATCAACAGATCGGCCGGACCAGCAGAATCTTTCTTTTACAGGTGATCCCTATGTCTGGATATGTAAATATGCAGCTCTTACTATGAATCCTAAATTATCTTCTTCTAATATCAAGCAGCTAAACTGTGCATGATAAACAGCAGTTGATCCTCTGTTCTCTCCTCTCTGACTAGTTCCTTTCTTCACCTACATTTCTTAGAAAAAGGTCCCATTGACATCTGCAGAAGCCTCTCAGACAGATGAAGAAGAGTCTTTGTGCTGCTGTTCAGTCAGTAATAATTAATGGGGTTGAGCTTGTGCTGTAGATGGTACAGGAAGAAGAACCGTACCAGCCAAACTGACCATTGACAGGAAAACTGCTCTGCAGCTAGATGTGGTTTTTACACAATTCCTGAGAACAGCACGAGGGTTTGAAACGTTCAGGTGTCCTCGCACTTCCTCATATGAACAAACAGGCAACTTTCTCGCCATGGCTGTAAACATCACACGCTGTGACCCATGCGCTTCATACCCGCCTCAGCACGCCTTGATCTTCACACGCCTGCACGCCTGCCACACATTCTCATGTTCAACTCTCACAAGCCTGTGATTCTGTTCGCAGCACATTCAGACCATATAACACTCTAACACTCTCCAGCCATCTGAACCTGACCTGTTGGTCTTCTCACAGGAGTACGAGGCCAGGGCGTCTAAATCGGACCAGAGTCCCTCCCTGCCCACTCAGGGTCGACGGAAGAACCTGGAATTCGAGCCACTCTCCACCACGGCGCTCATTTTAGAGGACCGTCCCGCGTGAGTATCACCATCAATCTGTTAACTAACCAGGTACAGCACAAGATAAAAGCTATTTCTTCCATGTTAACCAGCTGCAGTTTGTAATAATCTGTTGACAATAAAATATAAAATGCGGAAATATTTGTTAGCCGTACATATCTTTTTTAAAAGTGTTTTAAATATCATTTCTATGTAATTATATAATTATAATTTTTTTCTTCTTGATTTTGAAAAAGTGCTAAGCTCTGACATTGGTTGCAAAACGTGTCGAAGACTATATTGTAGAATAATAAATGCTGAAAAGTAGTAGTCCAGGAGTTGACCAGCGTATTGTCAAATCAATTTCATCTGTATAGCACCTTTCACATTATTCATGTTCAAAACAGCTTTACAGAAAATCATGATGTCAATATTTTTTATATATTCGTGCCTTTATAGTTGCATTTTGCAGATTAAAGATGGACGATAATATAATTAATATAATTATGAGTTCTGTCAAATGATTAATTGCGATTAATCGCATCCAAAATAAAAGTTTTTGTTGACATAATATATGTGTCTGTACTGTGTATATTTATTATGTATATATAAATACACACATGCATGTATATATTTAAGAAAAATATGTTACGTTTATATATGAAATATATTTATATATGATATAATTTATATTAGGGCTGCACGATTAATCGCAAGCGATATTTAATGCGCATCTTATCAGTAAAGCCGGTTCTGTAATCAGCGGTAAATCTCCATCACCTGCGTGCTTTCACATTGAGCAGCATTAACTA